GAGTTTCACTCAGAGTATAAACTGTGTGTTTTCACTTAACGTTGATTCTTGCAATTCTGTGATTGTTACCACTAGATTTTGAGTTACAGCCCTGTGTGTACCAGAAAGTTGCAACATAAGTCATTTGTCACATTATTCTCTGCCATTCATGAAAATCTCTGAATAGCTACTTTCAACTGTATTTCACAAACCTACATACACAAAAAAACCCCAACAAATTAACAAAACCACAGGCGAATTGTATATCATAAGTGAAGATACCTACCTAATAGCTGAATTAATTAAATTAACATGTGAAAACGAACAAGAACACTGTTCTTTTTTCAGTACTCTGAAGAGCTCTTTTTACTCTCTTTCTGAAGAGCCACCATAAAAGAAAATCCAGGTAACACATAAAGAATAAAAACGGACCTCTAAAAATGGAACTCTGGTTGGTAGCAAGTGTCCTGGTTATTTTTCATAGCCATCATTCTTGAAAACTCTTATTTAAGGCAGAGAAATATCCTATACATAACATTAAGAAATTGGAAAATGAACTTTGCATTTAAAAAAAAAAGGAAGTCTCCAAAAAAAGACAAAATTAAGATAAAAGTGTTACCATGTTAGTTACAAACATTTTTCAAAGTAAATCTCTGAATGGGCTACCGTTCCAAACTACAAGTCTCCTATAAGAAGTTAGAAAGTTGTGTAATCTGCAAGAACCATCTGTTGATTTTGGTACTGACTGAATATAATACAGTATGCAGTAACTCAGGAGGTTTGTAGGGTTTTCTGAGAGCACAAAAAATCCCACCCAAACAAACACAACAATCCTGACTACCTGAAAACACACCCTGTGAATTTGTGACTTAAGACAAAACAAAAAGCCCAAGCAATGCATAGCAGAAAGTATATTATTTAATACTGCTGAGAAATTTGCTATGAACTTTGAGATGTTCTGTAATAAGAAAAAAAAAACCACTTTCATTTTGACATATAGATTGCTTAAAGCACATACATTAATATTATTCTCTCATGCTTTCCTAATCTTTTTAAACATTGTAAGTGAGGGTGTTCTTTTTTAACGAATATATATTCAACTTCACATTTACAACTTGTTTCCTAGCTTTTTAAAAAAAAAAAAAAACCCAAACCAAACTTACATTAATTACCTATGAAAAAAATGAATAAAGTTTCAAAAAGGAAAAAAAAATGGATGTTACTTGTAAAGTCACAATGAGTTAATGAATTTTAGAGGATGGAAAACCAGCAGTTTTATATTGCTATATGAAAAGAAGACTCTACACACTGTTACCTGTAAGGTCTGTGTAAATTAGAGTCAATCAAATAAAACAGCAGCCTGGATAAATGCAATATAAATCTTTAGAATACAATAAAATGAGAAATTAGTAAAGTGTACTAAACTACTAAAATATTTCTTGTCTGGAATACTAATAGAAAAGTGGGAAAGTCATTATGTTTAAAAGAAGAGACAGCTTTAATTACAAGAATCTTCAGGAACTGTCATATCAGTAAGCTCATTAGCTACAATGAAAGTTCCTCCTGCTGATCTAAGAGTACTTAAAAAACAGGATTTGTTATACTTCAAAGCAAAAAAGGTATCTTTAATTCATGTACTGTAACAGTGAATTAAGGCTACTTCTAGTATTACAAAAGTAGAAACTAAAACTTCAGCACATAATAGAAAAAAACAAATTAAATATCCTGAAGTAAACTACAACTGCATCACGTGTCCCTTGCTGCTTGCCTGTCAAAGTTGTGTTTTAAAAAAACGAAAATCTATTTTTCTAATACAATAATTATTTCATGTATTCTTAATGTTTTATAATTTATAAAATACTATACAATACATACTAGCTTCACAACTAACAGACCTTGTCACTGCTTTAAGTCTTGCAAATTATCTTAGCTTACTATATGACAATTACTGGGCAATATTTAATAAAATGAAAGGTGCAAAATGTTTTTTCTAAAAAGGATAAAAAAAAATAGTTGCTAAACATTGTAGTGTTCTATCATCCACTATTTTGAATCAGAAATAACTTGATGGGAAATTTTAAGAATGGGGAAGTACAAAATAGAAAAAGAATAAGGTATGCTACAAATGTGCTGGCTGATACAAGGACAGTCATGTCAAGGAAGAATTCTAAAAAGTGTCTTTTAAGTAACTTGTTTTAAGAAACTCGTAGAAGACTAAACAATCGCTTGATGGTGGTCAAACCAAAACCAGTGAGGAACCAATGCGCATAGTATAATTCCATTTTTATACAGTGTGTTTGACTTTTTTTTTCTGTTAATATTGTTCAAATGGCATGTACACATCTTTATATCACATTAATTTTGATTTATAATTTAAAGGGCACTTGCAAATAATACCTTTATGCCACATATAAAATGTGAAATTATTATACTTGCAGAAACGACTATGCAGACTAGAAATCAAAACAGCTCAATAAAAAAAAACAGCTTGCAAGAAAGGTATGGGAGAAATGAATATTCTTATCAAATTTCATTGATTTATTCTTGGGAATTACTTTTAAAGATTACTTCAGAGCAGAAAGTTCAGTGAAATCATGAAGGTAGTGGCATTCCACCACCTCTACAAGGCCCCTAACCTTTGCTAGAGAACAGCATTTAGAAACAAATAGTGGAAGAAAATAAAACTAATGTGCTTCACAGAAAATTTGAACTTTATATTAGTATAACACAAAACCAGATGAGAGTGATGTATTTCCTCACCCAACAACTTTGACCAACAATATACATAAACAGAAGCTTCCGATCGGATGACGGGAAAAAGACAGGCTGTCTGAATTCCTTCTGTACTATCAGCAGCCTGTAACCCCTAGATGTAATATTTGTGTCCAGCAGTTTTCCAAATTTACTGGAAGTCTGAACTGCCTCCAGTAAATACAATCCAGGATGGATTATTCTTGTTAAGCACTAAGTACTATTTCTCAGAGTGGAGGAGGAACTCTAAGCCCTCAATACCTAAATTCCTTTCTAACACCACCAGTATTTCTTGTGGAATAAGCACATTTGACTAGAGGAAAGATTTTTTTATTACTTCCCCTCTATCACTTTTCCTAGCAGCCATAATGATACCTCATAACATCTGCTGTGTTTCTCTGCTCACTGCAGAAGTCTCAAGGCAAATCATTCACCATCGTTTTTGGTCAACTTGTCTTCACCAGCATATAAATAAGTTACATCAGACCAGGTGAGTCCATTATGTTGGATATGGCTGATCACGACCACAGATTCACAGATTTTTTTGAAATGACCTTTTGGTAAGCTCAAGTAAAAATAGCCACTTCATTAAAAATTTACTGTGCAAAAGTTGGTGCATATTAAATCAACCAGCTTCATAAAAACATACTTCTGCAAAAGCACTGAAAAGTTTTAATAAAAACCCATAAGCTGTGGTCTTTGGTATTTGCTGGATTTGCCAAAATTCCAGTGCAGGAGTCGTCTTTCAAAACAAAATGGAATTTTGCAGGTAGGGAAACAAGTATAAACAAACACACTGATGTGCTAATCTGTTAAAGACATCCTAAGCCTTTGTCTTTTTCACACAGTAAAACTGAAATGCAAAATACATCTCATAAGGTACTGAAGTAAATTCAGTATATAAATTTGAAAACACAGTCACTGATTTCCATCCTACAACACACTGAGTGAGATCAAAGATTTATCTAGTCAATAGCAGATACCTAAAAAAGAACAGAAAACCTGGACTAACTGATAATTTTACTGGCTACTCTTTGAATGCTCAGTGTTTCCTATCTCAGAAGCTCTCCAGAAGACAATCAGCAGCTTCATATAAGATGACTGTCTATACTGAAATAATGGCCTCCAATAAGGAACATGTTAGCTTTTCTGGCTGTTATACAAAATTCAACCACAATACAGCCAATAACATACTAGCAATAATAAAAAAATCAATGGCCAGTTAACAGTGGGTTCTATGAAAATAATGCACAAAATACTGATTTTATATACAGCAGAAACTCCTTCTATTACTAATACAAACAGTCAGATAAAGGGCTTGAAGCTTTTGACAGCTACTTAAAAATACCTGAACTTCTGAGTAGTTATAATGCACCAACTAAAATTGGAAACTTTAAGAACCGTGATAACAGAAAGTGAACTCTGTGTGAGTGACCACTATCTCAAGTTCTCTACAAGGAGCAGGTTTTGCAAAGCTGTAGTTTGCAGCAGAGAGACCGAGTGAGGCATAAGAGTGACACTGTACAAAGCAATACAGATAAACAGTGATATTTTCCAAACTGACATAAACTAAAAAATGATTAACAGAGACAGCCCATCCAATCTTCTTTTCCTGCAAGAGTATGACAGTGCTGAGGTGTCATCAATTTCTAACTCCATGCTTAGTCAGTTTAAATTACTAAAGCTGTGATAAAATATGGAGAAGGAACTCTAAATTAAGAAATTAATTGCAAAAAATCTGCTGCTGCATATATTGAGATTTACCATATTCCATGCTGCATGATGAAGCAGTAAAAAGGAATTTCCCAGTCTTCCAACGCTACTGTTGCATGAAAAACACACACAGGGAAGATAAAACTGTTCTGATTTGTGTTTAAAAAAAAATAATCAAATGATGGTATGATAGCCTTTCTGCATTTCTGAATTAAAAGATACTGGGTGATTATACTACACTTACCATATAAAAGATTGAAAGATGGAAATAATTTAAGATCTGTTAATAGAAAAGACCTTTTAAAAGAAATCTACTTTGGACAGTGAGTCTAGAAGATATGTTAGAAGAAATGTAATGGTAAATCCTGTAGCAAATATAAGAAGACTGAACAATAAATATTACCTTCAAGACCAGTTGCAGCAGCTCAAATTACTGATCTATGCTATCGACTATTAATGTCCATTTTAAAAATAATATTAGTATAAAATAAACATCATCTCACATAAAATACACTGCAACGCACACCGAATCAAAACTTTTAGTTAGTTATACGAACCTTTACTAGCTTTATCTAAATGCTGAAAATCCTCAACAAAACTCAGGACATCCTGGTAACTTTCTTCACACACTTCTACGAGAAAATGGAGCAATGTTGTTTTTTGATCTGCCGACTTTGTGTCCTTCAGCTAGAGAAAAAAAAAAAAGAAATGTCAAAATGCTAAGAATAAGATTACTTCTGACTGTTTTGATAATTAATATATATTACTAATTGTGCACCCAAGAAAGGTAAGAATAAACTATCAAACTGGTACGGCTCTTTTAAAGAAAACCCTAAGAAATGGGCTGTTCCACTTCCCCCCTTGCTAAAAATCCCTAGAAAGATCACATTAAATATTTATGAATTATATATAATATTTGAATTCTGTACTCAAAACCAGTACACATTTCTCTTTTAAAAATGTAATTATTTAAGCAATATAGGAGCATTTGCATTACTGTGAATAGACTCATGAAAGTGTAAAAAAAAAAAAAAAATCAGAGCTAAATCAGCAAAATCTAACAATACACGGTGCACATACCCACTCCATGCCATGAGTTGCTTATGTGTGAAGTCTAGCCTAAAAATATTTATGCAGTGGAAGCTACAACCTCAGCCTGGACAAGTTCTTGCTGTTATCAATTCTCAATATGGCAAACGAGTTCACAGGCTTCACTGTTTAAAAAGTTTGACTTCAAAAATTCTTAAGCACAAGCTTTTCTTTCTGAAGCCTTTATACATATAAAATTATTTTAAGCCCAAACATTTTAAAACTTGCAGCTGCTTGTGCAAAAACACTAACAATGGACAACTGGCAAACATTCATATGTTCCTGTGGTAGTCTCCCGTTTGAGCTAGTCTTTTTAAATTGTCAGAGAGATTTTTAGAAATAGAAAATGACACCTCATATGAAAGTACTTCTTCATTACTTAAAAAATATTTCTGCATTAAAAAAAAAATAACAGAAAAAGTATACATGTACGTAGGCACATACAAAGTATGCACACATACTAAAGGGCTGCCACAATTGCACACAGACGTGCACATCTAACCATAAGGAGAAAAAAAATCTTTAGCTGAGTATTAAAACTATCATTGAACAAGTAGAAAACTCACATTAGTTTGTTTCAGCGTCAAGACTGTTCTTTAGTTTGGTTACCATGAAAAATAAAATTGATCAGCAATGTTCAATGGCATAAGAGTAACTACAGCAACAAGGCAGAAAGGAATAACTGCCTTCCTTTCCAAAGAGGGTTCAAAACCAAACACAGAGCTACGTGGGGTTTACTACTGAATAAGGAACTGAGACCAAGATCAATCCCAATTTAAATATACATACACATTTTTATTTTTATTTTATATATTATCGCAGTTTTCCAATGGTTGCAAATTTCTTATAAAGAGTTTTTTTTTCACACTTCTTGTGCTTCCCAATATCCTCAGAGATCACTTAAAGGGCGCTTTATTGATCTGATTTAAAAACTAAATTAGAGTACATTGTCTGCTTTTCCCATACTGTTTGTAAATTAAAATTGAGAATTTTAGATGGTGGATATCACTGCGGTTGATATTTCAAACTTCACTGTAAAAAGTCACCAATTACTTTCAAAGATCAAATCGATACTATTTTAATAAATATTATGCAATATATTCTTCCAGAACGTCTATGTTCTCCTTCAGGCGAGTGAATTAATAGGAATGTGAGACAATTTTCAAAATAAACAGAAAATGGAATACATATATATCAAAACAAAATAAAAAAAAAATATTCTGTGGTCATTACTGTATGCAGTGTTCTAAGTTACTCTGACTGTACTGGGAATGTCAGGGGGAAGTGTCTTAATAATTGAAACATCACACAATTTCTACAACATGACACTGCTTAAAATACACAGTTAAAAGTTAGTTTTAAAAATAAACCAGTGTTATAAACATGCATATGATTTTAATATATCAGTATTTAATAAATGATTGAGTATTAGCATACCAATATCATAGCTCTCTTCTGAGAATATGCACGCATGCTCTCTGATGCAGAACTATTACAGTTTAACGCTACATGATGCAGGGAGAAGGCAAGATATGGAACTGTCACCTGCAAAGTGGATAGTTCATATAGTTCCCTATGCATAGTTGGGCACCAATCAAGAAGAGCAGATCAATTGCGTATTCTTCAAATATTTCAGAAACCAACATCTTTGAAGGACAGAAGTCACTGCAAACTTCTTAATTTCTCAGAACCCCCACTGAAAACTGTTGTGCAGACCACCACGCAGTCTGCAATTTCCAGCTTTCTGGTTTGGGGCCCTGGAGGAATATTGGTTTAGGTGTTTTTTTTTCCTGTTTTAATACTAATATTTGTAATAGTTGAACCATCCTATTATTCTCAGAACAGAGGAGATTAAGTATTAACCAACAGACTACACATAGTTAAGCAAATCCCCAAAATGGCACATACATAGTTTTACCTCTGTGTTTCCAGACAAAGTGATCTGCCTGTGTAAGACACAATTTCATAACCAGTGAAGGTTTGGCACTCACGGACTTCCTAAATGAGGCCACAATCGGATTAAGTGAATTAGGAATTGGTGACTAGTACCCTGATACACATTAGACTGGATAGTCCAGAGTTACCTCTAAAATCCAGCTGTCCAATACTGAAGGAGGCAAGAAAAATTGTAATAGGAATCAGATCTCAACTCTCCATCAAATCTGCTGATATATTGGAACATCACCATGTATCACAAAGGAAGAAAACTGTGGCTGATGTGCTGATACCTGGGTCTTTTTCAGTATTTGGGATGATATAATAATAGAACACGATCAGATTATACCGGTAGTATTAATTTACTACAAAGGCAGAATAGTAAATGCAAACCACCAGAGATTCTCTCTCTGAAAAACCTGTCAACCTTCAAAAGAACAAGTAGTTGACTGTAGGTTGCACTTGTCCTAGAATATCTAGCGGCAGAGATCTGAAATTTTACAGACATTCTCTAAAGGTGGCCATAGTTGCTCCGCCTCCCAGCAAACCTAAAGTTGGTCTTCACAGAATGGTTTGGCTTGGAAGGGACTTTTACAGATCATCTAGTACAACGTCCCTGCCATGGGCAGGGACATCAATACGCTCATATTCGACAACCATTAAGGCTGCATTATCTTCCCCAAAGAAAAGTCTTTAAGCACTGCGGTCTGGTATTCACAAGCTAGCAATTTGAAGTGATGCCAAATCAAATATATGTGAAATCTCTGTCATTGGAACTTTATTTTTTTTATTTGCACATTTCTTATGCAAATGAAACATATTGAGTACTACGACATATGCTTATGCATAATTAATGAACTTCTGGAAGGAGTAAATCAGTATCACTACTTCTAATCATATAACAATACATGTCAAAATTATACTGTACTAAACATTTTGACCACAGGGAGCAAATTACCTTTTCTGGTACTTATAGCTTTGTATCTACTTCGCTTACAGACTATTGGTAGTGATCAGCATTTCTCTTGAGCAGAGGGTTGGACTAGATGCCTACTGATGTCCCTTCCCCCCTGAATTATTCCATGATTCTAAGTAACAGACCCTACATTTCCCAACTAGTTAACTAAACACTCTATTCCATATTATTTATTTTAGCTCTTAATTTGGCCTCGTGGTGAATCTGTAAATTATTAGTATACCTGGATTTCAAAAGCTTTCCACAATCCTCCTCATGATCAAGTTCTTAATTATCTTTGCAGTTAGAAAGCTTTCTTAGCTTTTAAGCAAACTTCTTTTGTTACCAGCAAAGCCATTTATTCCATCTCCTACTGTAGCTACGTAGAAAACAAATGTTCAAGTGCCTTCTTTATTACAAACTAATAACAAAATGGACAGTTACGTACTCCTCATGTTCCCGTCCTTTCATTCCTAAACTGAATACACCCAAATGTTTTTTTCTCAATTTAGAATTCTTACATTTTACTATCATCTGGATTCTTACTATTCAGTCTATATATTTTATGCGGTAATTCAGACAACACTTCACCTAAAACCTTATCAGCACCAAGTAAGCAGTAGATAATCACCATCTTCATAATACGTAGAAGGTCCACTAAAAGAGACATTTTTTCCTCTCCAACAGAATGTTGTAACCACCTGTAAAGCTAAATAACCTGCAAGCGTGCAAACAGAAGTAACTATGAGATCCTAGATTATCAAATGCATTTAATGCCAGAGTACTATAGAGCTAGGCAGGACTTCAAGCCCATTTTCTGGAATCCTGCCTAGCCATTCGCTCCTTACTTTCATTACCTCCACACACTGGTTCACTTTCCCTATGTGTAGTGCGTCACAATAGTCCTCAAAATGTTAATCTTCTAGATCTTAAATTTTTTCTCCAAGATAATTTTGGAATTTTGATCCTGCTTTGCTAAGTGTCTGTAACAATTACCTTCATTTTTTTTTTCATAAGTATATTTCTTTTTTTGTTACCTTGTACATTAAAAACCCAGAGAATATAACCAGACCTAGGACAGATTCTTGTAAAATCATACCTCAGAAGTAAATGCACCCAACTGGAGAGAGAACCTTTAGTATCTTCTTTCTGAAAGTTTCTCAACAAATTGTACATTTGACTCAATTTCACCTACACTGTATTTCTCTAGGTGGCTGGTGCATGTGAAGTGTTTACTTTAGACTAGAGAAGGTATATAACTTATTCTCTATGAATATTTAAGTTATAGGTATCGCATTCAACACTATAGAACCACAGTCAAAGAATTTTTCTGAAACATGTCAGAGTAAGGGTGATTATCTTAAAGAATGTAGACGTTAATATATTATATTTTCTCCATTGTGTAAAAAGATAAAGAAGCTGAGAGAAGACAAAAAGTACGCACAAACTTCCAAATAATTCCTTTATCATAAGGACTATTACATACATGTGCACTCTGTGCAGATTTCACAGTGGCCTCCCAGAGGGCACAGGAAAAAAAAACAAAAACCACTAAATACAGGGAAGGCAATTAGGATTAGAACTGATTATAAATTAACAGTCAGGGAAGTATAGATGTCTTCTTGTATATACTTTATATAAAAGTTGAAAGTGTGAAAATTCAGGAAAGTTAGAAGAAACAGGGAACTGATGAAACTGAGCAACAACAAAAGAGAATCGGATAAGGAAAAAAAATATGTAAAAGAGAAAACAACTGTATTAAAACAGATTAAATGTGACAGTCTTCAAAGAGCTCAGACATATAAGATTACAACACTACTATGACCACAGTGATACGGTCCTTTCGTAACCTTATTATTTGGGGTTTTTTTTATTATTCCCTCGATATGGAATCTCCTAAAAGTTTAAATGCAAGCCAATCTCAAGATGACTGTAGACAGATTAGCTGTATTCTTCAAACCACCTAAGTGCTAAGAGTTATGAGAAAAAAAGAAAAGAAAAGAAAGAATTAACTGCAGCAAAAACATCAAAACAAGGTGTTTAAGTAACGTAATAAAAACAAATGAAAAAACGAATGTAAAACTCAACATGGATCTTTCAAAACTCACTTTACACAGGGAGCTGAGATTATATCCAAAGGTTTGTGCATTCCGAGAACCCGCATTCATGTAGTTTCCCATTAACAATACTAGTTCCAGCAGCTTGCTAAAGCTTTTACTCTTCTTTATCTCTTCACAGGCAGCACTGACAGCCATGATGTCAGGTTTGATGTTGTTCACCTGCTCCTCAAACTGAAGCTTAAAAAGAATAGCACTGAGCCGTGGCCGTAGTCTCTTCACGTTGCTCATCTGATTGAAAAGAAAATAGGAGATTTCCTTTAAAATTCATGCTACACTTTGGCACTGTACAAATGCATACAATCTGTAATGATTTATTGGTGTGACAGGCTTGAAGAAGCAATATATCTGCTATAACTGATAGCAAATGAACGAATGAATGAGAGACACTTGAGTAAGCAACTGAAATCCCATCTTGTGGTTAATACGAACTGCCCCCATCCTTTCCCAATAACTAGTATGTGTAAGCAATAAAAGATAAAGTGTCATCATATATCACATCTGTCAACCCATATACCAAATCCTATAAAACTAATCCAAGTTTATGACCCAGTACTTGCAAAGTAATAAAAGTAGTTCACAAATTTTGTATAACTCAGGATGTACCAAAACAAGGCAAATCTCATCTTCTGGTGCAAATATTTAAAAGCTGATTTCAATAACAGCTTACTATAAACTTTCAAGAAAATAATAGATTTGAAAAATCTCAGCTATGAAACACCTAATATAGCATACGTTAATACATACTAGTATTCATACCCCACTATCCTACTGGACCTTATACAGTTAATTAGGTAAAGCAGAACACTCCCAGGAAAACAGTAGCTTCTGTAGATCATATGCAAAAGACTTGGCTTTTTCTATGGTTTACTGGTCAGGGAATTTTCAACAGAAGTTTCAATCTTCCCATACAACTTCGCTAATTGAATTGGTACCCAGAGATACTTTGCACATTATTTACTATATCCAAACAAGAAGACTCCAAATTTTACTGCTTCTTTAAATCAAGGAACACTTAATGCATTCAATAAACTGAATCTCTCCATCTCCCAAGTTTCCAACGTAACACTCATCCTTCCAACTCTATCACAGAAATCTTCAAACATTTTTTAGGTACAATCCCAGAAGCTTGCTTTCTTCTATTCTTGCTCCTTTTCTCCCTGCCAAGCATTATATATTCCTTGGTTTTTCCTTCTTCCACAGCAGAAATAATGTTTTCCTCCCTGCTCTGTGGTTCTGTTTGCATGTGAGAAACACTAGTCTCAAATTCTTCCATAAGCCTCTTCCCTCATTTTTCCCTATTCCTGTTTTTTCACCAGTTTGATGAATTCTGTAAGACCTTCTTCCCCATACTTGTGTTTTTTTTTTCTCAAGGCAGGGTTCAAGCCAATAATGCCTTGACAATTCCCAAAATCCTAAACCAGGTGTTGTTTTGTTTTGTTTTTTTTTTAAATAAAACCCCCATACATTATGGTTCGCAGCTATCAGTACTTCTCAATGCAAGAAAGGAAGCAGTAATATTGGCAATTCTCCTACAAAGCAATAGGTCTCATATAGTGGCCTTAAAAAGTTTACCTTTAAAATGGAAATATCCCCCTCCAAACCACAGTGATACCTAAGGTTTTACAGAATATTTCTCAACCCATATCTAGTCCATCAATATGAAAATAGCTCTGACAGTGCAATGTTCACCAGTCATTTGGTGCTGATTATCCCACAGTAGACTCAGTGAAAAGGATAATGGTGACACTCTTCATCCATTTCAGTGTAAAGTCTAACAAGTTATCTTAAACTGATACTGAAGGCTGTCTAATCCAAAAGGTTTGATATAGAAGCAGAAGAGGATGGAATTTACAGTCTATTTTATTGGTTTTACTGTGACAGCAGTAGAAAATAAAATCAGGCAGAGTTAACATTTTATACTACTAAGCCACTTCTGCAATGCCTGCCTGGCAGTGCACCTGATGATGTCCCAATGAAGTAAATATACCATTTGCATTTTAGTTCAGAAAAAAAAAAAAAAAAATGTTGAAGTAAAATACACAATCCTTTCCAATAAACTTTGGTTTGCATCACAGAGCAGAGCGCACAAACAGGATGTCTTTCAGATAAAACTAGGCTGAAAACCAACTCCACTACTAAGCTTTAGTCCACAGAGTGCCTCCAGCCTGGTTCTAAAGTAAAACACTAAAATGTTTATAGTTTAAATGTTAGCTCAGTAAAACTGTAGGCAGATATTCTATACTCATCATACACTAAATAGCACCCAACAGCATAGGTAAACCCACCGAACATACTGCCCGTACAACTTTACACCTAACTTCAGAATAAATACCTAAAAGAATACTAAGGTACTGGACAGAGGCAAGTGTCACAAAGTTATTCTCCCAGCTCCATCAGGAAGAATCAGTATTAAGTCCTTTTCCTCAAACAATTCACTTGCTAGATTTTTATGAGTACTACTACTTCTCAGCATAGTGAGAAGAATATTCTTAACTTTTTTGTTCTCTATTCAGGAAAACTTCTGAGATTGGGCTAGAAAACCACAAAATTCCACTGAAGTTACCCAGATTTTTAATATTTTTCACTACTCAAGGTGCAATAGAGACAATCATTAATATCAAACCATGGAAACTAACACAATAAAGTGTAAGCTGCATTGATTTTAAATGGTACCAAACTAAAGATACCACAGAACCAGCAGATGATGCATCATTTATTGACTCTGAGCTTCTCAGACCAGCAGTTTCTTGAAACTGAAATGATCAGGTACCTTAGATCACAAAGATCTGTTGCACAAATGTAATAAAGCACATATGCATGAAAGATGCAAAGTTTTCACCAGAACCAGTTGGGCTACAACAAATTAAGAAGTTCTGTACATAAGTCTTCAGGATGGATGCAGAAATATGTAATCTAAAAAAATCAGAAACAGAAGTACACGCAACAGAAATGCCATTGGCCTTTTTTTATTATTGTTTTCAAACACACTGAAATCCATCGTTCATGTACAACGCACATTGTTAGTACTATTTGTTTACCTACTTGCTAAGTCAATAATTGATGGGGAGGAGATGGAGAATTCCCGCAGTGATATATGGCTTTCTTTGTGACATGTAATCTACAAATATATTCAAACTGTAAAATCCTTAAACCTTACCATAAGAGATGCTAAGAATTTAAGTGTTGTGATGTTGAGAGTCTTATGTTCATGCCCTATACTTTTTTTATACTCAGCATCTAAGTACATAAGTCTACTTAAGTCCTTACAGTGGAATCCTGAAGAGACAATCCAAATAACTGAAAAGGGAAGTTGAAGTAGAAAGCTAAAGAGTGAGTAGACTACACAAGTCAGACAACTCAGTGTTTGGGTAATGAGTTGTTCTATTTTTCAAGTAATTGTCCATAAGAATATTCTCACTATGTTCAAGTCCAAATGGGAATTGACAACTGAGTTGAGCTATCCAGTAGTAGCTCTCACAGCCCTTTATTCGACAGCAAAGAGAGGTTTTTCTCTCAAATACAGCATAAACCAGAAGGCACCTGCAAGAGTGTGCCATCTGGTAAATGTGTACTTTCACTGTCTGCTTTGTTGATGTCAAGTAAAGGAACATGTCTCAGAAGTTACCCTGACATTACATTTTGATCACTGAATGTGTTTCATTCCTACCACAAGCTCGTAGAGAAAAACACTGCAAGGGCTCCAGTTTCACAATATACCTTCCTTAAAGGATCAACAGTGTGAGGCGGTCAGACCACCTGAAAGCGCTGCCATCCAAAACGTAAAACATCAGTCACAGCCAAGCCGACTAAAGAAGTAAACTGGAAGAGCATCGCGTATGGTTTTCCTCACTGCGACATCAGTGAATTCTACACAGTGCACAGGTAAAAAGTGTGAATTCCTAACACACATCTTTAGGCTCAGGCACTTGAAAAGCAGAAAAAAAATTCACGTAAGAGAGAACCGATACCTTAACAGACCTTTTATCATGTTTAAAGAAGAAGAAAGACGACCCTTCTCAATTTGAAATGAGCAGTCAACATGCCTTAATCTTAGTGAAGACCACCAGCATTCTCAAAAGACCAAACATTTCAGTGTGTGGGAAGTCAATCCACAATAATGGAACAGTATTTTTATTGAGATGTTTTTATGGCTGTGTGGAAAAAGAGTACTTCTTTACCTTTGATGGACTCTTTTTCCCAAATAAATGATAAAGTCAAGAACTGCCAGCTCAAACTTAAAATTACTGATGAGAAATCAGAAAGTCTTCATACTTAAAATGTGGATATGTGTACATGAAAACAATTGAACTGATGACTTCTCAGCCGTGCTAGCACTGATAGAGGGCACATCCTGCTACTCTGTTTCTCCAACTAGAATTATAAACATCTCGAATTTGGACCACTGACTCAATTTCTTGCAAATCCAAGATTTTCCTAAAGGATATTCAGGACAAAAGAGAAGGGAGTGTACTGTAAGTGACACGGGAACACCACCCATCAATTACCTCCAAGCTGCACATCCACTCTTGTCTTGTGGATGATAGTGCATGGATATACAGTGCAGAAAATCCCTGGTACTGTTTTTGATGGCATTACGTTCAACAAAGATGGACTGGCAAGGCATCTCAGAAATGGGGGCATTCCTTTTTAATGCTCCAGAAGTCACCTCTCTGATGAAATACATCTGAATTGCCAATGGAAACTACAACACAGCTGTCAAAATAAGCTGAGTCTACAGTCTTCATGATGAAATTCACAAATAGGTATGTTCTACTATGAAAAGAAAGAGGTTATTTTTTTGTCTTATCCAAAAAATACAATCAGATTTACTGACATCTTGATCAGAATGGAACGCAGAGACAGCTTTTGTTTCTCCAAGTTGAGTTTAGACAATGGTATTTTCCTAAGAAGGAAGCATCCAAGAGCGGGAGGGTCTGAAATTGCCAAATTCTTCTATTTTTAGAAGACCTAACAGATGTCAGGAAAGCTATTTTCATTAAAAGGTACATATGGAGCAGATGCCACTAGACTGAAAAACTTTCCTCATGGGAAACCAAGTCAAGAGTTTAACATAGGTAAAAACCCTCTGTAAAACCTCTAATTCAGCCAGATAGCAAAAATAAATAAATTTATACCGTAAGTCATCGAGGAATTTGAAATAGAATACTATAATACAATCTCAAACAAAATGAAGAAAAGTTTCTAAAAGTAAAACAGATCTAGCTGTA